AAATTTTGGCTCAAGGTACTTAAGTGGATCACTTAAGAGGTGAGACGATAAAACCGGATGTTCCTCTTCTTATTTTTTGACACGGAGTGATAATGGGTGCCGAAATGGGCAATTTGACCGTTTTGAGGTTAGAAAATTGCGTGCTTGGGTGTTGCACACTACTCTGATCGACTCGAAATTTTGGCTCAAGGTACTTAAGTGGGTCACGTAAAAGGTGAGACGATAAAACCGGACGTTTCTCTCTACATATTTCCCCACGCCTAGTCATCAAAGGAGGCTATGGTGGCATTTTGACCGTTTTGAGGTTAGAAAATTGCGTTTTTGAGTATGGCGCACCACTCCGATCAACACGAAATTTTTTCTGTATCTTATGGGATGTATAACTTAAGAAAAGTGACAATTTTTGTTTGTGTCCTCGTTTCCATACGTCACCTAGCGCGAAAAAAGGAAAAAAATGATTTTTTTTAAAAATTTTACGAATTTTTTTAGAGGCTAAAATATTATTCGATGATGATGAATTTTTTTCTACAGAAACTAAGCTGATTGATGTAGATTCTGACAAATTTTGGTTCAATTCTATCGAAAATTAAGAAAGTTATGAGGAAAAGACGTTAGCATAGTCAAAAATAGCCCTAAAAAGCGGTTTTTGGGGGTCTGAGGGGGTTGGGGGGCTAAAATTCCTCAAAACCTAAGTTTTAGGACACCCTTGATGACTTAAAATGGTTAAAATAAAAATCCGTTCACAAGGGCATTTTGACATGCTTATCCCGGGATACCCTTTCAGGCGAACCGATGTGTCTGTTGACCAGCAGCCTGATTATTGATGCTCATGTCAGCACAAAAAAACTTGAAAAACCGATCAGATGAAGGATTATCATGTGTTAGCCCGGCGACAAAGCCTGATAAATCTTTAACAATCAGGCTGTAGTGTCTCATGGTTGCTTGAATGAATTCAGGGGAGAATTACATTTTTGTGGGTAAATGAAGAGCAAAGAGGAGATTCGGATAACAAAAGTGACAGCAAAATTATGGATATTTTTGGTAAACGGGCATTAGCGCCGTTAAGCCCATTTTCAGGAGTACAAGATTTCTGTATATTCGTAAGATGGTGTATCCAATAAAATGTATGTAGCTTATACATGTTTCTGTAAAATAGAAATGAACTAAAGATCATAGAGAGAGAATGGAATGAGTATTTTGCAAAGTTTTCATGTTTATGGTAGAACACACAACCCTGATCCACTGTATAGTCGTCATCTCTACCCCTGCATCATTCATGCGTTGGCAACTAATGGACAAAGACTTCAGTTCTCTTATTTTTCTGGTCGAAATGAGAAAGGTGACATGTTTTTAGTGACAAACCCACCCTTCTCGATTACCATTCATGTTGAAAAGAAAAACTTAAATAATAAGGAACATATCATCTCAGCAGCAGAAAGTCACTTGCCAGTAAAAGAACTTGTGCATGTTTTCAAACAAAACACAAAATAAAAAAAAATAAAAAAAAACAAAGAAAAAAAATATGTTAGAAACCTGCACAGGGCAGCCATCTGCTATTTTCCACCCCCTTTTCAAAGGTTCAGCAAGTCACGAAGGAATTAAAGTTCAGGGTCAGTTTAACTAATGGAGGAAGTACACGGTGTTTAATCTTCAATTAGGGATTTTCTCCGAAATAAAATTTTCGTTATACAATCTTTTACTTTCGAATACTCAATGCTGAGGTTCAAAATGAAACAAACTCTACTCATTAGGTGCTCGTTATGTTATCCAAAGCCGGAAACATTGACTAGAAAAGCATGATGATAGATATATGTAGTTGTGTCTACAGTGAAATATAATCATTGACTGAAGTTTACTGTTTTTCAAATTCGTGATTTCGAAATCACACTTATGTACTGAACTGTACAAAATTCCCTGATTAGTTAACTTGGACGTTTTTTTTTTCATTCACAGATGCAGTAGATTATACGGGATGCAGCTCTTGCGACAAGCCTGATAACTAGGTGAGTTTTCAATTTTTTGCCAGTACACTTAAAAATTGTATACGTAGTGAATCATTCTTGGAAGTAAAGGGTTTTCCTTAAGATTTTACTTCTCCTTCAGGTTAGTCATTCAAGATAATCAGCTTTTTTATAAATTTTGTTTTAACCCATCTTCTCAAGTAAGGTCCATGAGGACAAGATCTAAAAAGTTCCCTGAGAAAATCTGCTCAAAAAGTTTTTCAATAGTGCAATGACCTGGCTGTTTATTTTTGTTGTGTTAAATTTTCTGATACTGAGGACACTTTTCGTATTTGTCAACTGAGATATGTTTCGAAATAATGCGGCGAGATGAAACGGATGCTGCAGATACAAATTTTCGGAAGTGTGAACTTGTCGATTGGAAATGTGGAGCTTGTGGTGACAAGACGGTTGCCAATGAGGATTAGGTATGAAACTTGTGTAAAGAGCGACGCCAAAAACGACCGTTTTTTGGCACAATTTGGGTCAGCGGGGATTTTTCTGAAATCGAGCCCAAACGATACCGTAAGATACCCTAAAACTCTTGTTAAAATTTTAGCTTGAGTATACGCACGATTTTTGAGAATTGAGGGGGCAAAGTTGCCAAATCGCCATCATTCTGGACAGCATTTCTACAGCAAAAAGACGGAAAAAATGGACAAAAAAGTTACACCTTTGATGGGTACGGCTGTAAATGTTCTCATTGGGCCCCCCAGCATTTAACTGTGATCAGTTTCAAAAATTGTGGTCGCACAGTGGTCCAAAATGGGGAGAAATCGTCGACAAATCAGGATTCTTCGTCAAATTTTTAGAAATGGAAGTAAAATTGTCGGTCTGCTGCAGTTTTCATGGCTGGCAATGTTCTTATTGGTCCTCAATGCATGAAATTGTGTTCAGCTTCATAAATGCATATCGCACAGTGGTCAAAAATGGAGGAATTAGTGGACAAATTAAGATCCTCTGTCAACCTTTTTAAAAATGAAGTGAAACTGGTGGTCCCCAGTAGACTTTAGATCCCGGAAAAATTCTTTAAATTCTTTTTTTGACTATTTAAATCCTTTTTTAATTTTTTCCCTCCATTTTTCCTTCTTTTTTTTTAATTTCTGAAAGTTTGCATATTTTATTGAGATAATGCTACATAGTCTATTCCATAACAACGTTCTATAAACAATACGGTCTGATATGTAGTAATAATTAAAAAAATCAAAAACATGAATTTTTCCGGGATCTAAACTCTATTGGGGACCAACAGTTTCACTTCATTTTTCAAAAGTTTGACAGAGGATCTTAATTTGTCCACTGATTCCCCCATTTGTGACCACTGTGCGATGTACATTTATGAAGCTGAACACAATTTCATGCATTGAGGACCAATAAGAACAATGCTAGCCATGAAAACTGCAGCAGACCGACAATTTTACTTCCATTTCTAAAAATTTGACAAAGAATCCTGATTTGTCGACGATTTCTTCCCATTTTGGACCACTGTGCGATCAAAATTTTGGAAACTAAACACAGTTAAATGCTTGGGGGCCCAATGAGAACATTTACAGCCGAAACCCATCAAAGGTGTAACTTTTTCTTCCATTTTCCCCGTCTTTTTGCTGTAGAAATGCTGTCCAGAATGATGGCAATTTGGCAACTTTGCCCCCTCATTTCTCGAAAACCGTGCGTATAAGCTAAAATTTTTACCAGAGTTTTAGGGTATCATATGGTATCGTTTAGGCCTGGTTTCAGAAAAATCCCCGCTGGCCCAAATTGTGCCATTCTTGGCGTTGCTCTTTAATGGTGATGGTATTATCCTCCAGAAAATTTTGAAGAGAGATTTCATGCATGTTCATTCCACCTTCATATCCTTGAAATTGAGATAAGAGAAGCTTTCGAAGGGAAAATGGCAAATTAAATACGAAGATCTCCCATTAATAAAGGGTATAAAGCCTTTTCCTGATACAATTAAGTCAAGTTTTCAAAACGTTAATAAAGTCCTAGACTATTTGCATTCCACCAAGGTGATGTTTTGAAGCCAAAGCTGACGGAGGAATAAAAGTAATGGAAGATTATTGAGTTTCTTCAAAGAGCGTACCGGTAAAGCAGTTCATTGTCCAGTGGACTTGTGGATACAGAAAACTTCATCCAACTAGAAATATGCAGATGACCGTGAATGGCACAAGAGACACGTATGTTCTGTGTAGGAAGAGAAAAAAAAACTTTTGGTGAGGCAGCGGTTGGTAATAATAGAATTACTTTTTTCGATCTCAAGGTGTGTGGTCCTCTTGACCAGTGATGTTTTTAATCCTTGGCTTATCATGAGTTATACGAATTTCAATCGTTTCATGCAGAGGCCGCTCATGTCCATTCTGCCAGTCTTGAGTTTTTTTGAGTTGATAATACATTCTAGAGTTGAATTTAATGATGAATGTGGCGTTATTACTGGTTTTACACTTTGACGGTGGTGTCAAATCTTGAAAATTATTATAAGCACAAGAAAACTAAAAGCTGGTAAAATATACATTACATACTTTCGCACGACATGACTCAATTATGAAATGATAAATGCCAGAAAAGATGAATTATGAAACTTAGAAATATGGGTTACATAACTTGGCAACACCTCATAAGGGACAGGGTTGCCACAGTCCGGGAATTTAATAAAGTCAGGGAAAATGTTGAAAATGTCAGGGAAGTTGAATCTTCTTTATTTGCTTTCTAAAATGGGTTTGAGGTCGAACTACCAATTTTGCCCAAACACTATTTTCAATTATATCTTCTTAGCCATTCACCATATCTTCAATTGTCAGGGAATTTCACCAAAATGTAACAGGGAAATGTCAGGGAATTTCATTTCCCAATTTTTGTGGTAACCCTGTCTGATCGAATGACTATTAATTTAATAACCGGAACTTGCTCTGCTATACCACTTATTTGATAGTTGATGATTATATATTTTCTCATGTTTTCAGATGCTTGAAATAGGCAGCCTAGAACACATGTCTTGAAAGAAAATGCCAACTATTTTCGCTCCTCAATGATTACTTTTAGACGGAATTGATGCCGTAAGAAATTGTTTTACTTCTCTCTTACTGCCCTTTTTAAACAATATATTTTTTTTTTTTAAAGTTAATGGTCATTTTGTTTACTTGCTAATTATAATATTCAGTTATTAGTGTTTGAATGCGTTAGTGAGTTGTTAGTGTAACACTGATTTTTTTGTTCCTATTTTCGGAAACTTGAATGAATTTCATGCGCTCATATAAACAAGCTCGTTCTTAGACTAACATTGCAAATATGGCAAATTTCACTTGAGCCTTTCTTTAGTATGTTCAACTCATATTTTGTACTTGTATCCCCTTGAAATACCATTACGTTAGTGAGTCGACTGAGTAATGCCGATTTTTATTCCTATTTTCGGAAACTTGAATGAATTTCATGCCCTCATGTAAACAAGCTCGTTCTTAGACTAACAGTGCAAATATGGCAAATTTCACTTGAGCCTTTCTTTAGTATGTTCAACTCATATTTTGTACTTGTATCCCCTTGAAATACCATTACGTTAGTGAGTCGACAGAGTAATGCCGATTTTTATTCCTATTTTCGGAAACTTGAATGAATTTCATGCGCTCATGTAAACAAGCTCGTTCTTAGACTAACAGTGCAAGTATGGCAAACTTCATTTGAGCCTTTCTTTTGCACGTTCAACCCATATTTTGTACTTGTATCCCATTTACATATCATTACGTTAGCAAGTCAATGGGGAATTACTGATTTTTTGTTTTGTTTTCAAGAACTTAAATAAATTTTCTTTTTTCTACTACCTTATGTCTATTTATCAACATCTCTTTTTTCATACGCCATTTTTTTCACGACTAATATTAGTGTGTGAAATATTTTTTCCTGTGTGTTTTAAATTTCTTCCAGTCATTTATTGGCTAATAATAGTCGCATTTTGTTCCTGAAGGCCACAAATTTTTTATTTCTCCCTATTTTCTGAATCTTATCATCTAGAGATGGCTTTATGGCGAAAGTCTTAAAACACTTTCCTCATTCGGAATGTTTCAAGAAGAGCTGATGATGTTTCATTTTCATTTAAATTTTTTCCTTTCAATGAAAATCAGAGAATTATTCATAATTTTACCAAGTATTCTGCACATGATGCAGGATAACCAGCAAAAATGTCAAGAAATAATGTTCCTTAGTTTATCGTAAGTAATACAGACAGTGTTACAAGAAATCATCAACATTGCTAAAAGAGACATTCATTTTTCAATTTTCAACGACTAACATTGGTTGAAAAATAAGAGTGACCATGAGTGAGGAATTCATTAATTTTAAACCATGAAAGTTTTTCAGGATTTAAAATAGATTACTAAAATCTTGACCTCTTTACACGAGAGATAAAAGTTTCTTAGATTTTGAATCACTAAGGGACAAAGACATAAAGACGGAGCGCTAAAAGCAAAAAATGAAGCTTCTTTTCAACCACCTCTACTGTTGGCTAGAGGGTTGGCGACAAAATTGGGACAAGTTTGAAATTCAAATGTAGGGTGGGATCTGAATAAAATTGCGGAAACAAAGTATTCTAGGTTGATTTTTGCCCAGATTCACTTCCCCACGTATATTTTGTTAGCTTTAGGTTATTTTTGGTCCGTCATAGACCAATTAATTTCATTTGGGAGTAACGGTCATTTAGGACTGTAACGGCCTGTTTGAACCGGCAGGACCACCATGAGCAGAAGGAAAACTAACTTTATCTGAGATTACTGCCTGTTACCGAGCAATAGTAGGTGTATTTCAAAAATTCAATGTGCCAACTTTCTTATTATATTCGTTGCAGGCAATTAAAAGACGTTTAGAAGAAAAAATGTGGAAAAATCAAGAGGACAAGTTCAAATCAAATTTCGTCTGCGGCCATAAATTCCCGCGCACATTTACTCACTCAAACAAGCACCCAGCGCAAAACCAGGCTTCACTTTTTCCCCGTAATTTTAGATACAAGCAGGCCGTCTTTATGTCTTTGCTAAGGGGCTACGTCCCAGTAAATAATCACTGAAAGGAAAGAAAAAATCTTAAATTTGCCGCAAAGAAGCACTTTCTTTGGAATCGAGAATTCTGATCATTATCTGCTTCTTACAAACTACATATCTGCTTAAACCAATATTTTCATTCATGTATCAAGAAAGACATAGCTTAAGTAAAGATAAAAAAAAATTCTTGGCGGCAAATTCAAGAATCATCGTGTATTATAATGGATACGGCAACATTGCTCGTGATACCCCCCTTCCTTTTTCTCGAAATTTTCTGATGATGATTCTGGGGGTCCATGCTCATTAAAAAAAATTTCCAACTTGGACGAACAAATGAAATTAATGAAACGACAGTCCTGCTCCGAATTTACGCGACTCGCGAATTATGGGTGATGCAGCAATTCGGCAACATTGCGGAAAATTTCCACCTCCGATTTTCTCGAAATTTTCTAAGGATGATTCTCTATGTGTATGCTCAATATCTTATGCGTCAAAGGGGATGCACAAACGAAAATTAGAAAACCCCAGAGCCTGCCCGGAATTTACGCGACTGGCGAATTAGGGATGATGGAGCAATTCAACAACATTCCTTGAGGTTTCCCCCATGGATTTTCTCAATATTTTCTAAGAATGATACTGAGTGTGCATACCCAATATCTTGGAAATGGAGAAACGAAACGTCGATTTCCTCCGAGCCTGCCGTGAATTTACGCGACTCGCGAAATTTAGATGATGGAGCGCAATTCTACAACATTGCTAGAGATTTTTCCCTTAATTAATCACGAAATTTTCACAGGATGGTTTTGGACTGCCATCTTCAATAAATATAATCCGTCAAATCGAATGAACAAATGAAATTGACAAAACGACAGACCTTGCTCCGAATTTACGGGCTCGACTCGTATGGTTGATGGATGCAGCATCATTCCTTTTGATTTCCCACTCGGAAAATCTCGAAATTTTCCAAGGTTGAATCTAGGTGTGCATACTCATTATCTAATGTTTGAAAGGGGATGAACAAATGAAAATTTGAAAACCTCAGAGCCTGCCCTGAATTTACGCGACTAGCGAATTATGGGTGATGAAGCAATTCAACATTATTCCTAGAGGTTGTCCCTTAGATGTTCTCGAAATTTTCCAAGGATGATTCTGGGTGCTAATGCTCAATATCTTAAGCGTCAAAGGGGATGCACAAACGAAAATTTGAAAACCTCAGAGCCTGCCCTGAATTTACGCGACTCGCGAATTTTGGATGATGGAGCAATTCAACAACGTTGCTAGAGATTTTCCCCTTATGTGTTCTGAAATTTTCCAAGGATGATTCTCGGTGTATGCTCAATATCTAGTCACCTTCCGGGCAAAGTATCAGAAGCGCCATGCGACGGTTCAAAATTTCCGGCGCCATTTTATTTCATTACAGAGAAATTGTTGGTTGAATCTGTTTGAAAATTTCACTGAATTTTATCGGCATCGCAAAGCAAGTTCAGTGAAATTTTTGGACAGCTTCGTTGAACAATTTCTCTGTAAAAAAATAAAACGGCGGCGGAATTTTTGAAACGGCGCATGGCAATTGTGATACTTCGCCCGGAAGGTGACGATCTTATGCGTCAAAGGGGATGCATTAACGAAAATTTGAAAACCTTAGATCCTGCCCTGAATTTACGCGACTGGGGAAAAATGGATGATGGAGCAGTTCAACAACATTGCATGAAATTTCCCCTTTGGATTTTCTCGACATTTTCAGAGGATGGTCTTGGATGTCCATCCTCGATTAATATAATCCGTCAAATCGGATGAACAAATGATATTGATGAAACGACAGAGCCTGCTCTGAATTTACGCGACTTGACTCGCGTATAGTCGATGGATGCGGCATCATTCCTTTTGATTTCCTACATGGAAAATCTCGAAATTTTCGAAGGATGATTCTGGGTGTGCATACTCAATATCTCATGTGTCAAAAGGGAAGAAAAAATAAATATTTGAAAACCTCAGAGCCTGCCCTGAATTTACGCGACTCGCGAATTTTGGATGATGGAGCAAATCAACAACATTGCATGAAATTTCCCCTTTGGATTGTCTCGAAATTTGCAGAGGATGGTCTTGGATGTCCATCCTCAATAAATATAATCAGTCCAATAGGATTAACAAATGAAACTGATGAAACGATGGAGCCTACTCCGAATTTTCGCGCCTCGATTCTTCTAGTTGATGGATGCAGCATCATTCCTTTTGATTTCCCAGTTGGAAAATTTTGAAATTATCCAAGTGTGATTCTGGGTGTGCATACTCAATATCTGATGTGTCAAAAGGGATGCACGAATGAAAATTTCAAAACCTCAGAGCCTGCCCTGAATTTACGCGACTCGCGAATTATGGGTGATGGAGAAATTCACAACATTCCTTGAGGGTTTCCCCAAGGAATTTCTCGAAATTTTCTTGGACCGATACTGAGTGTGCGTACTCAATATCTTATGTGTCAAGGGGGATGCACAAATGAAAATTCGATACCCTCCGAGCCTAACCTGAATTTACGCGACTCGACTCGTATAGTTGATGGATGCGGCAACATTCCATTATATTTCCCACTCGGAAAATGTTAAAATTTTCCAAGGATAAAACTCATTGTGCATACTCAATATATTATGTGTGAACGGGGATGAATTAATGAAAATTTGACACCTCAGGGCCTGCCTGAATTTAGGCGACTCCCGAATTTTGGATGTTGGAGCAATTGAACAAGGTTGCATGAAATTTCCCCTTTAGATTTTCCCGACATTTTCCAAGGATGATTCTGGGTTTGTATGCTCAATATCTTCTGTGTCAAAGGGCATGCACAAACGAAAATTTGAAAACCTCAGAGCCTGCCCTGAAATTACGCGACTCGCGAATTATGGATGATGGAGCAATTCAACAACATTGCAAGCGATTTTCCCCTTAGATGTTCTTGAAATTTTCCAAGGATGATTCTGGTTGTGCATGCTCAATATCTTATGCGTGAAAGGGGATGTACAAGCGAAAATTTGAAAACCTCAGAGCCTGCGCTGAATTTACGCGACTAGCGAATTTAGGATGTTGGAGCACTTCAACAATTTTGCATGAAATTTCCCCTTTAGATTTTCTCGACATTTTCAAAGGATGATTCTGGGTTTGTATGCTCAATATCTTTTGTGTCAAAGGGAATGAACAAACGAAAATTAGAAAACCTCAGAGCCTGCCCTGAGTTTACGCGACTCCCGAATTTAGGATGTTGGAGCAATTCAACAACATTGCATGAAATTTCCCCTATAGATTTTCTCGGCATTTTCAAAGGATGATTCTGGGTTTGTATTCTCAATATCTTTTGTGTCAAAGGGGATGAACAAACGAAAATTTGAAAACCTCAGAGCCTGCCCTGAGTTTACGCGACTCGCGAAAAACGGATGATGGAGCAATTTTACAACAATGCATGAAATTTTCCCTTCGGATTTTCTCGACATTTTCAGAAGATCGTCTAGGATGTCCTTCCTCAATCAATAGAATCCGTCAAATCGGATGAACAAATGATATTGATGAAACGACAGAGCCTGCTCTGAATTTACGCGACTTGACTCGCGTATGGTCGATGGATGTGGCATCATTCCTTTTGATTTCCCAAATGGAAAATCTTGAAATTTTCGAAGGATTTGCATACTCATTATCTCATGTGTGAGTGGGGATGATCAAAAGAAAATTTGAAAACCTCAGAACCTGCCCTGAATTTACGCGACTCCCGAATTTAGGATGTTGGAGCAAATCAACAACATTGCATGAAAT